TTTTTCTTCCGAAGCAAGGACAAAAAATTCTTTTGAAAGTCATCTTCTTTAAAATACTGCAAGCATATTGACGATGTCATCCCAGGTGTCCACTTTAATCTTGTTTGCTTAACGAAATTGATCCACTTCTTTTGTCTTTTCTGAGCTTCCTGTCACTCGTCATCTGCGAATGGTATACAATGCAGCACAATACCCTTTTTGAGGTTTGGTTCATTAGAACAGCCATACACAACACACCTCTATTTGACATTTTTTAGCAAAAAATACTTCAATGTTTTCCTATAGTTTACACATTTACATGATATACGATGTTTTCTCTTGAAAGCCTCTCCCTGCGTGTACTTCACTTCTGGCAAGTATTTACCAGGCTCTTTTCTCCCAGTCATATTTTCAAATAGCCAACTTTAACAGCAAAAATGATAAGGAAGATTAAATATTTGCTTATGACAATATTAAGCAAATCGTCTTAAAATGTTCGAAATATGGTAAATATGTAAAAACCTCAATCATGAGATAGGTATGGGCGGCCGTTACCACCAAAAATACTACACGTGTGAAATGAATGGACATAAACAGAACTGATTCATTATAAACACAAACGATTCATTGTGTTTAGAAATGATTGAACATAACGTAGTAACGTGACTGGACAGGATGAGAAATGATTCATCTAAACTTGAAATGATTCACCTCGCAGTGGTCTAATTCGATTAGTGTTGCGTTAATTCATGTAGACAATGTGAAATGGCTCAAGATGTTTTGCAATGATTTAACAAGTCGTAAACAAATGATTTGTCTACTTGTTAAATGATTCGTGCCTTTTTGAAACCATTCGCTGTGTTGTTAAATCATTCAACTAAATGTGAAATGATACAACTACATGTGAAGTGATTCAGCATCATGTGAAGTGATTCAACATCATGTGAAGTGATTCAACATGACTTGAGGTGATTCAACATCATGTGAAGTGATTCAACTACATGTAAAGTGATTCAACTACATGTGAAGTGATTCAACATGATGTGAAGTGATTCAACATGATGTGAAGTGATTCAACATGATGTGACGTGATTCGACATGATGTGAAGTGATTCAACATGATGTGAGGTGATTCAACGTGATGTGAGGTGATTCAACATGATGTGAAGTGATTCAACAAGATGTGAAGTGAATCAACAAGATGTGAAGTGATTCAACAAGATGTTTCCATCTGCTTTAATATACTTCCTTAAGAGGAAAATATACGGAAATTTGTTGAAATTTGCATTTCAACGAAAATTACCGCGCGAAATGGAAATTATTTCTTTGCTCCGAAATACAGAATAGGAATCTATTGCTTTCGAATGTGCTGTTGAATGTGCTGTTTTGGAAATTAAAAGAACTTTATCTTGCAAATCCTAAATAAGGTGCGTATCTCTCAAATGTATAATGTATGTAACATTTATTTCGCAGAGAATTCATGCGGTCTGGTCGACTTTTATATTGTTTGGCGCGTATAAAATCTTAACATTTATATTAAATCTACTATCTTGTATTGGCACTTCAATAATGAATCCACTTAACGCTATTTATTATCATAAAAAAGATTTCTTTATCATTCAGTTTCCACCCAAATGTTAAATTGCTAAATAAGTAAATAGTGAATAGCGGCGATGTTCATCATGTTCATGCCGCTATAATAATATTGGCCATGCTATTGCATTTAATATCCCACCCCCTGTTGAGGATCTTTGTTTTGTAATCCCCATAAAGAAATAAGGATTTTTATAAACCCCAGAAGAATTGCAGTCTCAAAATGCATAGGCATACGAGGCAGGGGGGAGCCAACTCCCCCCCCCCCCAATTTTGGAAAACCATAGAAATCCGGGCAAATGGTAGGAAAATAGTTTAAATTCAAGTAATTTCATTACAATCCTCCACAAAAATTTGGGCACTTTCAACTGCCCGCCTGGAACGCCTATGTCAAGATGTCGCGCCCCTTAATAATTCCAGAGTCCTCAAATGAAATCTTCAACTAGTATGTATCAGTCAATAGTGGGATTAGGCAAGGTTTATTTTTGTCAACAATAACATCAGATTACTGAGGGGGGACTGGAGTAAAAACTGTCTTTTGTATCAGTTTGTGGTAATCATGAACACATCTGAAAAATGTCAGGTTTTCAAGTTTTTTGCTTTCTTGCAAGAGTGCCATGATGCAAAATGCTGCCAAAATTAGATAACAATTTTCGGATTACGTCCCACTCTGTGTTGACAAAAACGTTGCTTGCTTAAAGTAATGTGTATCCCCCTACAGGGCCATCCCTGGGCATTTGCAAAATTTTGTTTTCTGGAGGCTGAGTAATGGTTCTGTCGAATATTTCCCGGGGCCGAGCATATATAATGGTTAGCCTGCAAGCAGGCAAATTCTCAACCTTGTAGTCACTTCCTTGTGGTGTGTACACATTGTTTTAAAGAAATATAATTGTTTCTTGCCTAGGGGCACTACAGAAGTTCCCTAGCAAGCTCGATAATTGGGAGGGGTCCATTTTCGTCGTGTTCACATACCTTAAAAACAATCGATTTAAAAATAAATTAATAATGCAGCACATGAATATATGAATATGAGCTCCCCCCCCAATTATCGAGTTTGCTATGGCACTGTGCAGTATGACTTGGGTATCAGGTGGAGGGGATTGCACTTGAAACCAATTTTGGCCTATTACACACATCTAGAGATTATAAATAACACTAGTTAGAGGAGGCATGGAGATTAAAATTTGGGAACACGCCTAATGGGGTGCAAATTTAGGTCTCGGATATATTGGCTAAATTGAAAACCGTCACCAATGGGAACACAAGTACACATCCGGGACTTGAATTTGCCGAATTCCTTTTTTTGGCCTGATGTCAAGATTGCGATGCCTCCTCTAGTGTTATTTATAATCTCTCTGCAATCGGCTATTTGCTGAACAAAAACAGTAAATGGCCAATCAATTTTATTCTGTACAGACATGTTGACTGATAAGATTCATAGTTTTCATTTAAATGGGGTAATGTTCAAAAACCATGCAAGAAAAAGACCACAAAATATTTTCTTAGCTTTGTTGTGATGGGGAACAAAAGTTTATTCTATTGCTTATTTTCATGTACTGTATGTTGTGTTGATTTCATGAATTATTGTTCATTATTTTCAAAAACAGTTGTCCGTGCTTTGGAATTGTATAAGAAATACTGCACATATCAATGGTAAGAATACATTAGTACAGTATATACAGTGTAATACTATATGTTCAATTAATTTGATTCTGGCAGGATGGTTTTTAATAAATAAAAATTTAAAGCCTATAATGTGAGGTGTCTTTATATTACAAGTTGACTACCAGTACTGTTCTTTACATTGTACCAGTCTGTCAAAAATTCATGACATGACATTCTTATCTTTTTGGTTTTCAAAAGTTTCAAAACCTTTAACCCTATGCAATACAATCAGGAATTATTTTGCACAGGCCAATTGTTGCAGAGATTAGTACATTATTTATCATCAGCAGTAGTACTTGGCGTATTTTGTAATAGTTGCATCCAGAACTGTACAATTGTCAATGTTTCTTTCACTGGTTTAGGGTGATGTCAACCAGGAGGCAGTGAATGTGTTGTCACAGTTTGTGCAGCTATTGCAGAGGCCAGGTAGGCCTGATAATAACACACAACCATCAGTCCAGAATCAACCCTCGACATCTGGGCAGAATGCTCGAGCATCTGGGAATGCACAATCATCCAACATAATACCAAATGCTTCACCAGCTGCAAGCTCCTCCCATAGAATTCCATCATCTGTGGCACAGGCAGCAAGTGCTCCCAATCACTCCGTCGAAGAACATAGAAGACTGTTTAGTCGACAATCGGTAAATATACTTTACCACTCCTATAGGCTACACTACAATACAATTAGACCTCTGAAATGCAAGTACACGTACATGCGTTTTACTATTATTTCTAACCAGTTAGTTTCTATTGATCTATAGAGGGTTCAACCATATTCATCAGGGAGGCAAACTTCTTTCCGAAGAAGACGTGCACCAGCAAGAAAAGGTACAGATGATTGCTTGCCAAATGCTCATAATTAACACACTGTTATGTACTGTACTAGGTAAAACATGAGCAGCCGATCTGTATCTGATTTTTATCTGACATACAAACTTGAGCCGAAGGCGAGAGTTTGTATATCAGATGCAGATTGGATGCGAATGTTTTATCGTACTTAAAAAACGACCCATCTTTATATGAGTTCATTGGCGAAGTAATTTTAAAAATAAACATTGTCTAGGCCGAAAAAATCAAAGCTGAAGTTTATGTAAATCAGGACAAATCTTTATCCGATTTATAAACATTGATTAAACATTCATTTCTTTTGTATTTTCCTCGTGAATTATTAATGAATTTTTAAAATAATATTTCAGGTCAGTTGAAAATGCTACAGTATATACTGTATCTGGTGTTTTTTTATATAGAAAAGTCTTTAACAAGAACAATGTTTTGTTTTGGTGACAAGGGAGCAATGGAGACACCGTCATGCTCTGAAAAGTTAGAGCTCCATCAGAATGGTCTTGGGGAAAAGCGTGTATCTTTTCCTGTATCAGCGTCTGCTGCTGGAGTTAAAGATTTGCTCCATGAGTAAGATACGGTTACTTCATAATTATATATATTTTTTTATTTTACGATTGCTACTGTTGTATTGTATGTATTTTGTACAATTTATACTGGAATTTTGATCATAATTAGTATGGCTTCTATATGCATAATTAGTATGCTGCATCTAACAAGTAGTTTATTGTATTTTTTTTATTTACTGTACAGTACTCAATCCCCTACAAAATTTTCCGTAACTGGTATTCTGTTTTTAGAACGTATCCTCAGTTACGACAAACCGGAGGATTCCAATTTTTGGTGAGCCAGGAGAAGGCAAGAAAACAACTCAAAGTTGTTTCCCATGGGAGTTGTAGTGTGGAACAGATTAGATGTTTCGGTAGTGGAAGAATATATATTCGACCACTTCAGCGAAGTATTCCACTAACAGAAGGTATAAAGTTACATGAAGAATTCGAAGTCTGCTTGACATGTGAAGAGTCTGTCGCAGTGAGTGAAATGCATCAGCATCTGGAATCTTGTGAGGTGTGTACAGTATATTTATTTACCACGAAAAAAATGGACTTGTTAAAGTATTTGCAGTTAGTTGCCTATGCTATGGTTGATAAACAAACACCTGCATTAGAAAAAGCAATACCTGTTCAATAACTAAATAATTTTTGACAATTCCTTTAGGGCTACAAGATGAAGATCTTCCACTTGGAATTGGTGAAAGGTTTGTTATTACTGTGAAAGTTTTGTTATTACTGTACGCGCCTGCTGATATGAGGTCTTTTTGGCGCGTTACCCACAATGTGCCATGAAAAGGTTTTACGTATTCAATACGAGTCTGTGTGGTTCGTGACAAACTCAGCTCATCATTTGTGTTGCCATTTTCAGGAGCGAAGTACCTGATGACAGACAAACTATTGATGGCGACGAGCAACGATCTGTTAGGCACAGTAGTACGTCAACGGAACATGCCGCTGATACGAGAATCGGTAATATGCAAACGGCACATTTACCTGATGGTGTTGCGAGCGAGAACGTGGCTGATGATAATGGTCCGGACTCAACAGACGCAGAGCCATCGACTACTGATGTTACAAATCGCGCTGAAAATATGTAAGAACGAATTGCCACGTTTTTATATGTTTCTTACCAACAAGCATTCTACATCATTAGAGTTGGCGCGCATTATAAAATGGTACCCACGGATCCATTTAGCATGGTTTGGTCTGTTTGGGGATGATTCGTCAGATCCAATTGTGCGGCAAATCAATTATTGCATTAGATATTGCCGATTCGGATTGGCGAAATGAAACTTTCCATTTGTTGTTTACATATTTAATTCCATTATAGGCCCGATTCAGGAACACCTAGTTATGTTTACGAAGAGCACCTTCAGACGGCCATCGATGCAACACACTAACTGGAACGTATGTAGTTGTTCAGTTGTTATTCGTAAAGCACAATGATGGTTCATTGTTGCATGTTCACTTTTTTAATGTTTTAGGAAAGAAGACGATGAACCTGTTCATGTCCTCCGAACTTTTGTTTGTCACTTCTTGCGAGGTCGTCCACTTGACGTACAGGACTTAACACGAGTACTAGAGGGTGAAACGGCTGAAATATTCGTTTCTCGTGCTACGTTATTCGAAGATGGTATGGACGAACTGCTTGGCGGGATGGGTCATGACCCAAGCCTTCCGCTCGAGGTCACATTCACTGGCGAATGCGCACGGGATTTGGGTGGGCCACGGAAAGAATTGTTAGGCGCCATGGTTCGCGAAATAAAAGATTGTTTGTTTGTTGATAACGGGGATTCTACATACATTTTACGGGAGGATGTGGTGGCTGAGAACAGGAGGCATTACTTTGGTGCTGGTCTTGTTTTTGGTAAGAACTACTGTACTCTGTACAACAAAGTAAGAGCCGTCTACTTCTCAATGATTTTTCTTTATCTTACTTGTAACAGCAATGCAACAATGCTTAAAAGCTGTATCTTATAACAAAGTACAAAACATAATCCGAAGATAAGCATCTTGAAACCCAAAATATGAATCAAACAAGAAACTGAGTGAGTAATTTTTCGATTTTATTACAAAATCATCATCAGACTAACTATAGTTACAATATATACATGGTCTTATATACAAGTTGGCAAGGCATGACGACATAACGGAAGTCTCAATCAGAACCACGACAGGTGCAGTGAGATGTAAGTGTGATGAAATGTGGGTGTATAGATTAAGAAAAAACTGACCAACCCAACTGACGCTGACAATAACGTTTATAAAATAACATGTATATAACGCGTGCTGTGATTGGTCGAAACCCGTGTTTGGATTAGGCCATCCAAACACAGAAATTCAAAGTGAAAGTTTTTTAAAGTGAAATTTTAACACGGAAAGTTGTTATTTTAATAAAACAATTACTTTATAGTTTCCGTGTTTGGATGGCCTGATCCAAACACTTGGGAATGTTGCTCGAGTTAAGAAAAGCGCGCAAAGTCACTCGCCTTTGGCTCGTGCTTCGCGCGCTTTTCTTAACTCTCGCAACATTCCCGCGTGTTTGGATCAGGCCATCCAAACACGGAAACCATAACGTAATTGTATACTCCATTTTTATTTCCAACTTAATAATTGACAACTCTCGAATTCTTCACACTATATATTCCCGCACATCTTATTTTCTCTTGTTGCTTGAAGCTCTATCTATACACCCACATTTCATCACACTTACATCTTACTGCACCTGTCGTGGTTCTGATTGAGACTTTCCTTATGTCATCATGCCTTGCCAACTTGTATATAAGACCATGTATATATTGTAACTATAGTTAGTCTGATGATGATTTTGTAATAAAAGTCGAAATATTACTCACTCACTTTCTTGTTTGACTCATATTTTGGGTTTCAAGATGCTTATCTTCGGATTATGTTTTGTACTATATTTTTTTGAAATTGTCGGCTGGTATTGGTTTTGTATCTTATAAGTTTATGCTATACTGTATCTTATAAGTAAATGTTTAGTACAGTATAGAACGCTAAGAATCTCGTCCAGTATTTATTCAGTACGTGTTGTGCATTTTAAGTTGTACTAAAAAACTGAACACATAAGTTCACTATGCCTTTCAGGTTATAGCATACTACAAGGCGGACCACTTCCATCCTTTATGCAGGAGAATTTGCTGTCCAAACTTTTTGGCGATACCGATGGGCAAGTACTGAGTTGTGCTGAAGAGCAAGTTCGTGACAGTTTTTCCCGATTTGGTTTGGTAGAGGTAACATGTCGGTCTTTTTTATTTTTTCTTCTCCACTATTTGGCCATGAACAGGTTTTATGCGTTCAATACACCACTTCGAAGAATTGATCCGTGAGTCGATTTAGGAGACTGGACCGGGTGTGAAAATTATACGTACAAAAATGTTTTCGTATTTTTGTATCGCTATACATTTTTACGACCCATGTAGGGCAAGTCAAAATCAAACGACCGAGTAGAATATATAGCGATTTTAAATGCCAAAACATATTTTGTGTACATACTTTTCACCCCCCAAATTCTGTCCAATCCTCTAAGTCAACTCGCGAATCATTAAAAACATCCATACCTCGAAAGAGTACTGATATGGTCGGTGTGAATAGAGATAATATATTTTAAAGTTTCTATATAATCATTAAATGACGTCAGAACCGTTTGGTTAACAAACAATCATAATACAACAGTGCATGAGTAAATTATTCATTGAACAACAGCAGTCACTGTTATATTGAACCATTTTTAGCTTATCCAGAAACGACCGTCTTTGATGTACTTGTTAAGACGAACAGCTTGTCACCCTCTTACCTACCCAAGGATGGTGAGATTATTCACTCCACGCTTCTCAGAAGAAGGATCGAACGTGCGTTTAAAAGAAGAGAGGACATACAGGCTCTACCTGAATTACCTTAAAGAAGTTGCTGGTACGTTCAAGCATTTACCACCAGTACCGAGTACGCACAGTAGTAGCTGTTTTGTAGTAACTGATCATGTAACGTTTTTAATTATTTCAGCTGCTAGACGAGAACATGTTACATTGAGTAGCATACTAAAATTTGCTACGTGTTCAGAGGATGAACCTATCTTGGGTTTTGCAATCCAACCTGCATGTGCTTCAGTGACAGCATGCTGTCATGCCTTCCGACATGTAACACCTGCATCAACCAACTGCTATTGGCAATCGGTGAAGTTGTTCCCGAGGACAAAGAAGAGATGTTTGCCAAATTTGATTTGGCTTTTTCCAGTGAACATTTCGGATTGGTGTGACGGGCAGAAAATACAAAGACAAGAATTTAGGTAGTATATATCACTACCACGTCACCATGATGCTTTTTGTTTTTTAACGGGGTTTAGTTGGGTTATGTGAGCGTTATTTTCTGGATATTTTATCATGAGGCCGCTGAACTACTAGACCTTATAATTGGTGGACGTCTCTGTCGATGTCATAGATGACGAAAGCTCAGACGAGTTTTAGAACGTTTTTATTTTCAATAATCAAACTAACAATTATAGGTTCAAGTACTGGCAGCAGCTCAACGGCTTCATTTTAATCAAACCACATCCAGTATCATGCTACACTAAAGGATAACTTCATACGTTTATTTTAAAAGTAATTATAACATTTAAATAAATGAACATGGAACAAACTGCATATGAAAGTTGATGCTATGTACTGTAGTAAAGGCGTTACTGTAATTTTAATTGCAGGGCTTTTTACCTGTTTGAGTGACAATATCTGTAACCGCAAGTTGTCAAGATCCATGAAATGCTTGCAGCGTAGCCCCGCCTGAATTAGGGGCTGCATACGTATTAGCTTTTATAAATTTAGGCAAACCTTCATTGTAAGTTTATGCCAATTCATGCAATAGCAATTCGTCTAGTGTTTGCAGTGCGCATAGGTATGCCTCAATGTCCCAAGGATCTGTACGCTCAACGGCAGAGATTCTTTCCAAAAAGTTCACAAGAGCTGCTTCGTCCAGAGGATTTAATGTTTCAGGTACAATAACTCCATCATCACTGGCATCCTCATTGTACTCTGGCAAACCTGCCTCTACATCTACCCCGTATGTATGCAATTCATCCTTGATTGTAGAAAAAATACAGCCTCAGTACCATGCAGTTACATGAACTTCTTCGCCGTATCAGGCTGAGAAGATTCGGTTTAATCGTCTTGTGAAAAATAGTGAAAGAGCGTAAACTACTGCAGCTCGTAAATCTCAATTTGTTTACTACAGTATATCTAACATTACTATACACACCATCAGGTTTATCCCAAAACGGGAGAAGCGTAGCCAGCCCCTGACGCGTGGGGGAGTCTAAGGGTTGTACTGTAAGACAGTTTGTGAGAATTTTCCTTCACCCCCAATTTTTCCTCAGTTTTGGAAGAGTCACAAAAGTGGTCGTGAAGAAAAGAGGGATCTGTACCCATTCATTGGCTACGCCCCTGGTCCAAACCTGAATGCAGTACATGATTTGCAGGGCGTATAAGTGCACGATTAACTTACCTCGGACAGATTTTCGAAGTATTGGTTGGCAATCGTGCCGTTTTCATGTTGAATTTGCTGCATGCCCATGATAAATATTTGAAGCGGACTTTTGTTAGAGGTTGTGCGCATTTTGTGGTTTATCCAAGCGTTTGCAAAATTTGTTAACATATCATTTATGATAGGCTTATAAACAGCATGGAGGCAAAAGATATGGTGTTCATTGTCAGGATCTAGTATTCCGTCACTTTCCATGAATGTGAAAAGGTCGTAAAACACGGACAAAACAGCTTGATAAACGTCCCTCCACAATCGCTCTATTCTCGAGTTGTGAACACTGCGGCCTGTTAGGTAACTTCCTCGTGATGGTCCCCTTGCAGGATGGTTTAACATGTAATGTGCAACAGCACGGTTTTCCACGCCCATATCGCCTCTCACTCGAGAAGGAAGCCCCCATTTGGCAACCGCTTCTTCAAATAATTTCAAAACCGTTGCAGACGTGTTGTCGACGCTACATGCAAGGTACACGATAACTCTGCTGTAGCCATCGATGCAACCGTGGATAACGAAACGCCACCTAATATTAAAAAGAAACGAAAAAATTGTAGAAGGCAAACAACTGTGAGACGATAACAGCTTGCCATGTTTTACTTACGCTTTACGGTGTATTCTAACAGATATGTTACTCGTTTTTATCATAAACAGATATAATATCGTACTAAACGAAATAATTGCAGCGTTTATTATGCTCACCATAGTATAGGGCTGTAATATAGAAAGTAATGAATTTACTCTAGTCAACATAGAATTAATAAAAAACCTTATCAGTTTATGATTTCCATCCATATGCCAAAGGGACAGCGGTGAGTGGACGCTGTAAACTCGTCTCCTTATGGCTGTAATTGTTCTCAGTCTTCTTCCGACGGGGTCTACTCTCTTGACTGACTCTCTTATTGTTCTCCTTTGAACTTTAATTCCTTGGGACACAAGCTCCCCTTCTATAGTCTTCATCCCTAAATGTGCGACCGATTTTTACCCACTTTAAAATGATACAATTATTATTATTATTATTATTATTATGAACTATATTTCAACACGGTACAATTTCACCTATACTAAAATTAATTATGTACAAGATATAAAAAGGTGATCTTCCAACCGACCGTGCTCACACAAGAGAAATAAGAAATAATTACAAGAAAATTATTTTAGGTAGATGGAAACAATGGCAGGATCACTTGATGTTAATTTGCATGCATACAACTGTAGCCCTATTGCAGTGACAATATAGTAACATGCATATTGCCTACATATATAGTAACATGCATATTGCCTACATACAGTATATCGCATTGACAACAGTTCTTCTGTTTATAATATTTAGCATTTAAAAATATATAGCATTTTAGGATAGACAATGATCAAGTGTGTTTATTGAATTTGACTGGGAACATAGGCGTACGTGGCCTACCTTAGTGGGAGGGGGGGGGGGGTCTTTGGCATGAAAAT